TAACAGAGTTTTATGTGAAAAGCTCGAAGACAAGATGAAGGTACTAGTGTCCAACAGTGTGCAGTTGTTGGATGTTGCTGTCACCAGAACAACCTGTGAACTAATTTGTTGTTTTACTGGAACAGGGTACTGTTGTAGAAGGGACTATACAGAAATTGTTTGAAGGTCACCATATGAACTACATAGAGTGCATCAATGTTGACTTCAAGTCATCAAGAAAAGAATCTTTTTATGGTATTAGTTGTTGGTCAGATTTCTCATTGCCAGTGTTGTGTTCATTTGTTTGTTTTCCATGTAATAAACAAAAAGTTCTTGTGACAGACCTTCAACTCGATGTAAAAGGTTGCAAGAATGTCTATGAGTCCTTTGACAAATATGTGGAGGTCGAGCGTCTTGAAGGAGATAACAAATACCATGCTGAAGAACATGGTTTGCAGGTATTCTCCTGCTCCATGTAGACACGCACTTTGCATTTTTCTTTTCTTCTGAGCTTCTATGCTGTCCTACTATTCTGAATGATAATTTGGATTAAAATTGGAAGATGGTTGATATTTAGAGATAACAGAAATTTACAAAATAAATCATGGTCTTAAGACTATGTTATGCTAACCACATGGAGATTAGATTTACAAGTTACTAAATGTAGGGTATTGGTGTAGAATGTGATGACAAGTGAAACAAAAATGTATAGCTCTTGTTTTTGCCTTGTCTTGGAGATGAACAGCCCGTCTCTTGGGTTTGTTGCTTATTTGAAACCACTCTTGTCTTATGAATGCGTGTTTAGAAATTACTGGATTTCTCAGTTTAGCAAATATCTTTATTTTTCTTTTAGCAGTTTTAGAGGGGTCAAGTGAATCATTAAAAATATTGCTCTTTATTAGTGGACAGTAATCAGCTGAGGTGTGACTAGCTAAAACTGGGCTATACTCTTGGAAAGTTCACTTCAAATAGTTACTGTGAGGAGGAGATTTGCCACTTTTAAGTAGTTGCTTGTCATAAGTTATTATTATTATTATTATTATTATTATTATTATTATTATTATTATTATTATTATTATTATTTTCTGTAATATAATTAGGACATCCGGTGTACTTTTTTTCCTGATGCTCCCTCTGATCTTCATGCGTTCTTTTCCAAGTTCAGTAAATCTCCATTAGTACCTTTAGACTGCCCAAATGTTTTTCCACTATATGAAATGTGTGCTCTTATATATTTGTTCTTTTGTTTTTGTATGCTATATTTTCTGTTTCTTCATGGTGTAGTTGTTTTGTTCATTGAAATTAAATGCATTTTTTCCATTTTTACGGATACTCATGACATAAGGCCCTTTGTGCTTGCACTTCTATATTTTTTGTCTTATGTATTTGTAGTTCAATATTTCTTGTGGATTCAGTTATTTAGTTATAGTTCACAATCATGAAACCATTTTCTATTCTACTTTTGGTCCATGGATGCAACTTTCAGTATGCTCTCTTTCTGAAGTGCAGTACTTTTTATTGAAAATTTTATGGCTATAGTAACAAAATTTTGGTGATGGAAAAGAAAAAGAACGAGGATTCATTTCCTTCTTGTTCTTTTTCTCGTTTCAGATGCTTTTGACGACAATAACCAGTGAACTAGAGCCTTGGCCTTTTTTTTTTTTTTTTTTT